GTACGGGTGAGGCGCGGCTGTTCCTCGACTTGTGCGAGTGCGCAGGGGCGCTGGCCGAGGTGACGTCACCAAAGCCGCTCTCCCTAACGGAGCCGAGGCCGCCCCCCCAGAAGCCCTGCGCCCCCGCAACCCCGCCCCGCCCCGCGCCCATGCTGTCTGTATAATAGAGCAGGAATGCGCAAGGAGTGCCAGGGTTATGTCCAGCATATAGCACAGGGTGGAGACTGTTTAAGGATCATTTAGCTTGCACACTGGAAGGACATTCTTGAATCTTTTAGTTTTTATCATGTTATTTTTGTTCTTCTGGGCCTTGAGGTCTTTCTCTATGAAGTAGATATTTGTTTATGTGTTTTTTTCTTTTTTTGCTCTGCTGTTCCTTTATATTCTCTCTCAATTTTATTTTTGTAATCGGCATCTTGTATTTATAATTAAAGTTCCTTTAGGCATACTAAAATTGTGGCAATTAGTGGAGGGATTTATCTACGGGTTATTATTTTATATAAAAGTTTTATAATCTGCATATCTATTTTTTTAGACTGTACATACTTTGTCCTCTCCTCTCCTTCTCTCTTGGCGTATGTTGGCCAAGTTGGAATGGTCATTTTCCAATTTTTGATTGCCAATTTTTAATTTTATTAGCTATATTTATTTTTTTTATTTTTAATATATTTTCTATTTCCTTCTTAATATAATAGAAGTTGAGTAAAATGATAAATAACAAACCTTGTGAAGAAGCTCGAGACGTCAGTTGAACATGGCGTTGAGCTCGAGAGCTGTCAGCAGTCTACAGGGGGAAACAACCGCCGCCGCCGCGGACACTGCGCGTCTCTGAGAGCCGGCGACCGATTAACGGGGACCGCCGAAGCACATTTTACGCTCCCGGTGCCATCCCTTTTCTTTTTTAAATTTGTTTTTTATTCATCCATTTTTTTAATTTCTCTTCCTACTTCTGGGATTTGAACGTTACGCCGAGGAAGAAGAGGAAAAGAGGAGGTCTGGAGAGCAGAGTTGACAGTCAGTCAGTCAGTGAGGTTACAGGAGATCAGGTTAGTGTTTTTTTTTAAGCTTTCAAAACCTTTACCTGGATTATTACACCACACGATGTGTCGGCCTCTTTAGCTGCGACGACGGTTCACTTACTCTGTGGGAGCTGCTCGGCTATTTGGGTTAACTCCTCTTGCACTCAGAGCCATTAGTCAGTCGATAATAACACAGCATGATTCAGTGAACTGTTGCTCCTCTGTTTGCTTGTCACTCAGGTCCAAGGGCGGCTCAGCTATTAGCTCCTGTCTGCTTCTGAATTTAAACTCACCTGAGCGTCGTATGCCAAGTTTAATATATTGTTTTTATACTCGTTAAGAAGAAAAAGCAGAGAGAGAGAGGAAACATGTCAGATAACCAGAGCTGGAACTCGTCCGGTTCCGAGGAGGACATCGAGCCCAGAGAGGAGTCTGCACATCTCGTTGGTATCGTCGACTTAAACGGAGTCCTCAGTAAGGTAAGCCACTGAATTTACTCCTTTAAAACCTTAAAGCACGCCTGTCTACATGCCAGGGTGAAATGAGGCAATCAGGTAATGTTTACGACAAATCATGGCACGTCTGCTTGATCCCAAATCCTTCATCGCCCGTCAACATTTCCACATTTCTGCTCAGCTTATGTTAGACAGGTAATCACAAAGGGGAGAAAAAGCCCCTATTGAAACTGAATAGCCACATTATCTCATGGGTAAAGCTGCTGAGGGGGCTGCAGCATGCCCTTAAAGTCAGGCACAATCAAAACAATTGGATTAAAATGGTTTATTTAGGGTTTGTACACTGGTATTTACAGGAAAATATGTTTTACCTTTTTTTTTAAATTGGTTTTATCTCCTAAAAAGTCCTAATATTTGTGTAAAATGTTGTTAAAAGCTCTATAAATAGGCTGTAAATGATTCTGCTCATGGGTCCACCTGAAACAGATTAATTCACCTTGGTAATGAGTTGATTCCAGGTTTATACGTGAGGCATTGTAATACATGTATATCAGTTTCATACCTGTACTGTGCCGGTATCTAACATTTGGCCGTGGCAGTGCTGTTACCAGTGTAAATAATGAGGGCAGCTCTTATTTTTGCCCCATGTGCATCGTGCAGCGTCTCCCTGTTAGAAAGGGCAATGCTCTTTGTGCTGATCTTGGGATTAATTGACTACTGAAGGGCTGATTTCTCCCTGCTGCACAGCGACGCGGATGCAGCAAATGGTGCCGGCGTCCAGTGAGACTGTAAATGTTGCTTTGACAACAGTGTGGAAGGTGCAGGGAAACATTTGCTTGTTAACCGTCAGAGCCAGTGTCAGTAACAACGCTGCCAGCGTTTGTGGATCTGTTTCTTTCTTTGGTAAACGGACAGTTAAAGGGTTCGTTGATCAGTTTATACTAATATTTAAATAACTAGAATCAGTTTTTTCAAAGCTGAATCTAAACCGAGCTGTGCCAGCCGCCGTCTACTGACTGTGGATAAGTAGGCTACCTCATATAACCACACTTAAAAAGATCTAAACTAACCCTGTAAGTCTTCTGCGAGACAAAGTCTGGCTAACCTATTTGGGCCATATGCTTCTGCTCACTTGGGCAACACTTTGTTTTGGACAAATCGACCACACTTTTAATTACTTAAGCTGCTGCCGAGCTAACGTGGTATTAATCTCACTGTACGCTGCTCGCCTGTAAACAGATTGCACGCTGACCCGCTAACCAAGCATATTGTGAGATTAAGCAGATCTGCATCCAGAGAAGCTCACCTGTTTCATCATATTAAGCCCTGTACACGTCATGGGTCTCGGGAGGATTAATGAGTCTACACTTTCCATAAAATCCCAGTTTTTCCAGACGTGCCAGCTCAGATACAGCCGTGTGTTTTATGCTTGTAGTATGCAGTAACCAGAAACATGAGAACTACTCTATAATTGACCAATCAAGTCCAACAGTCCCTTAATAAAGACTTATGAGGTGGACCGGATGAGCTGAACATTTTAGTAGTATTTGACGTAAAGTGTTATATTCCCTTATATTGTATAAGTGTATTATTCACCCACGTTCTTCTGCACAGCTTTCTCTTTCTCTTCTTATCTTTATCTATTTATTTTTTGAAAGTACTTTATTTTTCTGTGTGATTTGAATAATTGTATATTTGTATTATGTGTGTATTTTATGCACCGGGTCACATTCCTCGTAGGCGTAAAAAAACCTACTTGGCAATAAACAAAATTCAGATTCTGAAGATCTTAATAAAAGTGTTTTTTGTTTTTCAGTGGACAAATTACATCCACGGATGGCAGGATCGTTGGGTGGTCCTGAAAAACAACACGCTGAGCTACTACAAGTCTCAGGATGAGACGGAGTACGGCTGTCGGGGTTCCCTCTGCCTTAGCAAAGCTGTTATTACTGTGAGTACTGTCGAGATTCTTCACTACAAAGCAGCACTCATCCTCTCTGTCGACAGTGCTTCAGTACGCCGCAATCTTTTAACGTATTTGACCTTAGTTCTGTGTTCTTGAATGCAGCCTCACCTTTGTGCAATATCGGCCTTTTCAAAAGGTCTTACAAGAATGAATGGTGATGTTTATGTAAGAGGGGTTTGTGTAAGAGAGAGGAACCATCACTCTCGCTCTTCAAGCAGCCGAACAGTAAAACATCCACTGCTGTTCGAGCCCTGAGAGGACAGTCTGTGTATGTTTATTTAAATTGCAAATGTAGCCACAAACTACCCTTGCGTGTCACTTTACCTACAGCTTCGGCTGATTTTCTGTAGTTTGACCTTCAGTGTGTGGTTTGATCATCTTGGTTTCGTGCCCATTACAACCACAGCAAACTCTGTTTCTTATGAAAGTAATAAAAGTGACTCACAGATGAGCTATATTTAAAAGGGATTCATTTTCCCTTCTATCGGTTGACGAGCTGTAATGTGTGCTAATCAGCGTAGTCTGACTCAATCATTTTCCTATTCAGAGTTGACATAGCTTTGTAAACCTGTTTAATAATTAGGTCGGCAATTTGGGGAATAGGATTAAATCAATAAAACAAATCAACTAAGGAATGCCATCAGCTGATGGACTGTTAACGGTCGGTGCAGTCTCAGTTTTATCTGCCTAAATAACGCTTGAGGAGTTTTTGTTGTTAATGGTGACCAAACAGTGGAAGAATGTGCACTTTATCAACCTTTGGCCACACTCAGCCCCACATAGCCTGCTTTGTTCAAATCTAAAGCAGTAACAACAACGTGCTGCAAAAAAGCTTTGCTTCTCAAAGTTTTAGTTACGTGTTGCACATTGTGTTTGAATCGGCTCGTTTGTGGAAATAACTCCACTTGTGCGATTGGCATTTCATCAAACAGTGAAATCCCACAGGAACTCCGAAGAACAAGAATGCTATTTCAGTGTCTTTTATCAGAGTGTCGCCAGTTATTATAGTTCTTTTGTTAACCTTGTAATAGAAAATGCTTCTTCAAATGTACCTGAGCAAAGTATGTGTGTTTCAGTTTCCATTTTATTAACGTAAGGCCAGGAGTTTTGTTGTAATATACCGTTCAAATCAGGAGCGCATGTGGAGAAATCTAAGGAGCAAAGATGTTTCTGTTTCTACCCACCTCCTCCTCTTCCTCCCTCAGCCTTTCACATAGTTCAGAGAAATCTGGCGTATGACATATTAGATATTAGATTCAGATGTGAGGCATCCACCATATGTTTTTCTTTAATTCGTGGAGGAAAGACTGGACTCCAACCTGGATCCACGTGTAGGCCAAAAGCTGAACTTTTTGTTGACTAATCACGAGGAACTTTACCCCGGAGTTTCTTCAACTTGTTCTTCAACTGCAGGTGATAACATTTTTTTTTTTTTTTTAGACCAAGAACTCCTGATTGTGTCCCAAGTTACGCTTGAGGGCGAAAGGCCTGTCAGGTGACTCTTCTAGTTTCAAAACAAAATACTATGTGGTAACACTTGAAACTTCATCATGAGACAAGGTAATGATGTGTCACTGTATAGGATAGACTAAGAAAGGCAGTAGCATGCAGTATATTGAAGCAGAGACTCCCATGCTTATCAGACGTTTAAAATGACCCCGTCTCACTAATCTGTGAGAGCTGCCACACTCTGTTAAGCACAGAGAACATAAATCCAAATGTGTCAACAGTGTTTAATGGTGGATGTTCACACTGCTTCACCTTTCGTCATGTTTCAGTGGGAACCCAGGTCAGTCATTGACTGCAGCTCAGTCTGTGTCTCTCTCCAAACAGTAACAAGGGAAATGAATAAGTTACTGTTCCCAGGCAGCATAAAGCAGGCTTTGCTATTAGTTGTATTTGTTCAGCTTCATCCATTCCCAGCCTGTGTAAATATTAACCTTCATGTGGTGCTCTACTGTAGTCATTTTTCATTCCAATGGAAATCTGCCTCAGAGGTCTGGGGCGTAAATAATAAAGAGTTATAGCTGGTGATGGTCCTGCACAGTTATTACCTTTTTAGAACAGAAATATTCTCTCTTTTTTGCCAGTATTTCTCTCTTTAATTTCTTGTCATTTCCCCTCATCGCTCTCACGTTATCTTTCAGATAGAGAAGCATCATGATACAGCATTTTCTCAGACATCAGACTGAGACTACGACACAGGACACCGTTAGGTTCTCACATTTGAGAAGCTGCAACCAGCAAATGTTTGGCACGTTTCCTTAAAGGACCAGTGTGTGGCATTAAGATCCTCCTGAATTTTCCACTCTGGAAAAAAATCACCAAAGCAATTATTTGATTGCCAATTAATTTTGTGTCAGTTCAGGAGGATGTAAGCAGTGTGTGAGTCATTCAGAGATGTCAGAACTCTAAAGTTGAGAAACCTTTGGTAGACCTGCAATAAAAGGTGTGATTTCTTCACTGCAACAACCGCAGCAAGTCCCCTGAAGCACTTCTCAAAAGAGTAAATCAACACTGTGTAATAAGCCAAGATTGAACTGAAGCTCATTGCTGGTGGCCCGCTCTTTTCTCCTGTGTTGTGTTTTTTATGGTTGGGGCCTGAAATTCAGTGGTGGGGCACAAAATATATTAGCTACAAGAACAGCTTACGAGATATAATTGAATCAAATTGACCTACACTTTGAAATACTGCTTTAAATTTCATTGCAGAGCTGATGGATTATTAGGGAACTTGATGACACCTACTGAACTGGATACCATTGAGTGTTACAACAATATAAATATATATATATATGCGAGTTGTGGTGTGCATAGAGAACTCACTTATTGAAGCTCCTGTCAGTTATTTATTTTGAATAAATAAAGGTCTGGATTAGTCTCTATAACTAGTGTTTTAGGAATGACTAGACTTCACTGTAGCATTACTGCATACTCCCCCAGCATGCATTAGCTCCAGATTCAGAGCTTTCTCTTGAGGTCGGCTCTCGACCACATAAGAATGATGTCCTCGTTCCTGTTTCACATATGACAAAGGTATCTTGTCATGCTTTTAAGTTGTGGCTGCACTTGATTGTGAGCTTGTCTGTTTGTGCAAATGTGCCTCCACAACTGCCATTGCAACTGCACCTACAAAGGCTGCTAACCACCACCGTTGCCATTTTTAGCTCCATGGTCAGTTAATAAGAGCACACTGGCCTACTTATAATTCCTTCCCTGCTGGAATTGGTGAGTAGTGCGGACTGGATCTGTAGTAGCGTGGTGCTGGATTGTTTTGAGTTCTTTAAGGTAGTGTAATGATTTGGCCTTTTCTGCATCATATCTGTCACAGTGAACCACTCGAGGTGGATGAAGAGATCGAGATGGAGAACGAGGGATTATAGGTCAAGTGGTGGTTGAACGGAGCGGTGTGAATGACGTCAGACTTTGTGGAAATTGCAAAGTGTCTTGAGCCAGGAAATGAGACTCTTCCTCACAGCATGTGACTTCCTCTACGCTGGGGGTCATCAGGAGGGTCAAGGACCACGCTCGCAAGTCTGTGTGTGTGTGTGTGTGTGTGTGTGTGTATATTTCAGTGATGAATGTTGTTTTTTACTGTCACCCTTGTTCATTTAGCCTTCCCTTTCCTTGTGTTTCACTTTGACCACTTGGTGAGTCAGTCTTTCCTGCCCTGGGGCCACAGAGATCCCGTTTTGGTATCCAGATCTCTACAGAAAGATGTTCCTGGCGTCAGGCCTTTAGTAGTAATACCGAAGGAACAAGAAACTATATTTGTCTGAGTCTCTTCTACAGAAAGCATAATTATTATGTCTAAATTTGCACAAAGTTACGTAATTCAGCGAGGTCTGGTGAAGCTTTGTAGGGGTTTTCTGTGTTTGCATTGCTTTCCGTCCTTCTTATTTTTATTTTTTTAAAGGCACTGAAAATCACAAGCTATTTTAAGGGGAGCTCCCATCCATCCAGTTCTGTGACTGCAAACACGTACGCCAGCTCAAGAGGGGTTGGAAGGGAGAGCACAGAAGGGGAGTCTTTTTGAAGCAGAGTAGGAAGTTTATATTTGAAGAGAATAGAGACGGAATAAAGCTGTTTTGTCGCATCATTTTGATTTTGGCATTAATATAACTTGTTACACAGTGTTACTGGGGAAAAAAAACTCAAAGTTCATAAAATGTTGCTTCTCGCCTTCCTGTCTCATTCACCCCCTGACGTGCTCCCTTGTGAGGCATACAGTTGAAAACTATCCAAAACAAACAAGACACACAAATATGAGTCCCTACATTCAAAGACTAGATTCTACTTTTTGTCCCAGATAGTTTTAGAAACTTACTGCGAGGTAACACTGCAGGACACAGCTTTCAAGGCACGATAAATACTTTGTATAATTTGATTTTGTCCTTTTAACCTACAAAAGATAATAGACATATTGATTTGTCTGGGGATCTAAAGTGCTTCGCTGCAATCATATCTAAAAGATCCATCCATTACTTTCTTCATACCTGCTTGTCCTGTGCATGGTAAGCAACAGAAATCCTACTACTCTTCACACTGACCTTGTTCTACGTTCCCCTGTGTTCCTCTAGTTGTTCATTCATCAACCTGCACACACATTCACATGTAGACAGACACAAACTAAACTCTGTAAACTGCAAGGCTGCTCAGTTGACCTTCCCGTGATGGATTATTGTTTACCGTAGCCTTGGATCCCAGGAACCTTCTCGGACCCAGTGCAGTCTTTCATTCCTCAACCCTGCTCACCAGTCGGTGTACCCATGACCCCATAGTGCAGAGGTGATCAAGCAGAATCCAATTTCTTACTTTTCTAGCAACCAAATGACATTAAAATCTCATCTAATACCAACCAAACTCTTGGTTTTAGTGTAGTGTAGTTATAGGAGAAGTTTTATTCTCAAAGGTTGTTTTACTTTGCTTTCTGCTCATATAAATATTATATATTCTAACCAGTTTTTGCCTCTTTTTATGTTTGTTTCCAATTTAATTCAGATGGCTTTTGAAGATTTGAGCTGGTAGTCGTAGTCCTGTCAGGTTGTTGAGGTTGTATTTGAAACTAATCTGTGTAGTCCTGGGTTTAAGAAAGGGAGGAGGCTGTGTTGTTCTCTGATCTTTTGTCTTCCCTTTAACAAATTGAGGTTGAAGCATCACACTTGACTGTCTGTCTCCGCCCACTGGTGCTGATCCTGTGCTGATCTTGTGCTTGTGTTGCTGGTTACTCGTAAATGAGCATCGGATCTGGAAAGCTTCCAGCATTCAGCCTCACGTTGTGCATTATTGACACTGAGCATCTGGTCTTGGCCCTCACTGCCGTCCAGGTGTCAGGCAACGCAGCCAAGTCGCACTCCTCCAGTGAAACCTCTTTAAAGACACCGTAGTGGGTTATTTATTACTCTGCAGACTCACTGAAGTAATACAATCTTCAGTAATGGTTTGGGCTCAGGCTGACTCTGGGCGCTCCCATTCACTGGGAGATTTTTAGATGGTGAGTTTGCAATTGTTAATGATCATGTGTGCCTGTTTTATGATCGCTTGTCTCAGTGAATGTAACATTTCTATCTAGTGTTAATCCTGTATAGATTAAACAGAGTTGGAGGACATGACCAATCAATAAAGTATAATTACACTACTTTGACTCACAATACCATATTGATTCACTAAGCATTAATAAATTCAGTGCATTCATGAAACAAACACTAAAACACTCTAAAAAGTGCTGATGGGTGAAATGAGTGGCTGTAGTGGTTCTTGTAAGATTGCAGACCCTTGGCCCCTCCGTAGTAGATGATCGCACTTATTGTGCATTAGAAATATATTAAGACGAGGATCCGAGATGTGTTTACTGTATCGTAGAGCAGGCCGGATGCATTTGGTAAATACTACACGGGTAAATACCAATGCTGTCCCCACTTCTGCCCTCTCTCAGCACATACCCCAACACACACATACAGTCCGAGCCAGCACAGCAGTTTCACAGCGCTGACAGTACACTAGAGGGCTGTTAGGAATACGCTCCATCCTGCAGGTTGCCTTAAAAAGCCAGTTATCTGCCACTTCTCCTCTAATGGGACGGTGTCTAAAATGGAGACTGTGGTGCACTCTGCTTTGTCTTCTGTCTCTGTGTGAGATATCTAGATAAGCCTACAGTGAATGTATTCAACTCACAGCTCTGTGGCTGATGGATTGCCATGTTTGCAATTGTTAAAGTCATTTTAGGAGCTGATTGTCATCCAAGCCCTTTAAGTCACAGGAGGGAGATTAGCAGTTTGCTATTTCAGTGCCATTTTAATAGCTATTTACATGGATGGCCACCTCACTCATGCCTCCCTCTGCTCTTCCTGAGCAGGAAACACATTTGCGTTTCCTCTATGAAAAGAACATGACAGCAAGTTTAGAAATGTATGGCATCACAGTTGTCAAGCCAGCTGGGTTCCAGTAACTGCCCCCATTTCATTGAATCATCCAGAATCTGATCCTCTCTCTGTTTCTATCTGATGTCGAGACAGGGTTTTATAATAATGCCTGATACGTATTTAAAGGATCAATGCACACTGACTAACCTAATGTTTTCTCTGTTTTTCTCTGTGTTTTTTAGCCCCATGAGTTTGACGAATGCCGGCTGGACATAAGTGTAAACGACAGTGTGTGGTACCTAAGAGCACAAGACCCAGAGCACAGACACCAGTGGATTGATGCCATTGAGCTGCATAGGGTAAGTCATGCACACACTTAACCCAGCAGACAATCAACTGCTGGTATCAAAAGAAACCAAATTACATTCACAACAAATAAGTATCATCTAATACAAGGTTGGATTTGTGAACGTGTGTGTTTGTTTATTGTATGCATGTGTGTGTGTTTCTATCAGAGTATCAGAGAGGGGAGGAGAGAGAAGGGAGGAGTCCAGGGAACAATAATCATCCCTCCACCACTGGTGCGTTTGTTAGAAAGTCTGTAGGACTAGGAATTGTTGTCTTTAGCACAGTATACTGCAATAGCAAGTGTGTGTGTGTTAACCTGTGCACCTATGTGTATTTAGTCCATAAAAGCATGTACGTTGTGTGGATAGTTTTATCCTAGATGTTTCATTATTGGGACATGGCGCTTTTGACGCACGCCTAGCTGAAAGTTATCTTAACCTGGGTCTAACAGTGTGCTCACGGTTAGGATAACCCCTTTTCATTCACGGGCATTTTACTCACAAGTTGACTCTGAGAAAGCTGTGTGAAACACTGCCAGCTGATAACTCTGTTTTAATGATTTTCTGGGGACAACCCGTTGAGGTTATCCTGTCCTGGGGGAGAGTCACTTAGCCCTGGACTATAGTCAGCGCTTTTTTGCTTTGCTGTTTGCCTAAAATATCAGTATAATCTGAATTCAAACAGGGCTCAAATACAACCCTGGAGTTCAGCCTTTAAAGTGTTGTGTGCAAAGCCTTGTAGTGCAGGGACAGCAAAAGTACAATCCATTGTATTCAATGTGAAGGACAAAGGAAGCAGGGGGCATTCCCTACTGTTGACTCCTGAGTAGAAGACAATGAAGGAAAGGAACACCTACAAAATGTTTGTTTATATATAT